CATTCCTGAGAGACTACTTATCTACTTATTTCACTGTTGAATGTATTTAATGTTGCATTGGGTTAGTGAATTTCAAAGATTCACAACCCTCTGTGTGAAGAAATTTCTCCCCATCTCAATTCTGAATAATTGACCACTAATCCTGAGACTGTGCCCCCATGTTCCCTGAATCCCCAATCGGAGAAACAATCTCTTGATGTCTATCATAACAAGCCCCTTCAGAATCTTCCGTGTTTCAGTGAGATTATGTCTCACTCTGTCTAAGTCTGGACCCAGTTCGCTACAACTCTAATCACAGGCTGACCCCATGATACGAAGAACCAGTCTAGTGAATTTTCTTTTCAATGCAAATATATCCTTTCCTACATATGGAAGTCAAAACACACGTACTTCAGCTGCAGCCTCATGCAGTCCTTATAAAACTGCAGCAATATCATCATCTTCCTTTATTTTAATTGCCTTTACAATAAAAGTCAATATACCATTTAACTGGCTAGTGTGAGAATCAGATTAGTGATCTGTATCTTGGCCCATTACATTCTATCATTCCTGACTACTATTGTTGCATGTGCCTTAGCCAAAGGTATTGGAACAGTTTTCTTCCAAGAACAACAGATCAGACATATAAAATGAATATATTATGAATCCTGAGCGTTACCTAAAATGAAAAATCAACACACAGTTATCCGAAAGGACATTCTCTTTGTCACATGTATTTTAGAGATTTTGAGATTGCATACAGGATTTTATGGTGACCAAACATAATCTACTTATCTCATTGTGTAGATAAAGAAATGTTGGCAAGAATGGCTCCACTGATATAACAGTTTTGTCTTTGTCTTATGAAGTTTGCACATCCGACCATATAACTGCAAGGGAAATTACAGAGACCAGCAGATGCTCTCTCAGATTGATTGTTCAAAACCTTTATGCAAGCAGATGAAAAATTCTGCCAGTGAACTTGATTCAAATATTCAAGAAACAAGAATGTTGTGGCCAATGACACAAACAAAGCTTAATGTCATCAGAGAGGAACCAAGATTCCCAAATGTCTTGCCATTGATTGATATTATAAAGAATTCTTGCCAGTATAAACACCTATTGGCTTAATTATGAAAATTTATTTTGCACACAAACTATTGTTCTACGGTATTGTAGATGGCCCACTGGTTTTTGATGACAGACTCACTAACCCTCCTTCATCAAGAAACAGTGTCCTTGACAACATAAATTGAGGACACATGAGCATCACCAAATGTAGAAATAGTGCTTGGGTTTCGGTGTAATGGCCAGGAATCACGTAGGTAGAAGACCTTAGAACTAACTGTTAAGCGAGTGTCATGTAGTCATGATTGAAGGGAACCAGTAATTCTTCTTATCTTTCCTGCCAGACTATAGGAACGTAAAGGGGCAGACCTGTTTGTGTTTGAAGTGTACAAGTTCTTATCTAATGGTGTCATAGAGTCCCTACAGTGTGGAAACAGCCCATTCGGCCCAACAAGTCCACACCGCCCCTCCAAAGAGCATTCCACCCAGACCCAATTCCCTATCCCTGCATTTTGCATGTCTGACCCACCTAGCCTAAACATCCCTGGACACTATGGGCAATTTAGCATGGCCAATCCACCTACCCTGCAGATGTTTGGACTGTGGGAGGAAACGGGAGATCCTGGAGGAAACTCCCGCAGACACTGGGAGAATGTGCAAACTCAACAATGGCAGTTGCCCGAGGCTGGAATTGAACCCAGGTGCCTGGCGCTGTGAGGCAGCAGTGCTAACCACTGAGCCACTGTGCTGCCCGATTGGATTATTTCTCCCGGTTGATCGACTGAATTTATATTCCACAACCATGGACACTGTCGTCAAATCCTGCATGAAATATTTGCCGCTTATGGTTCAAAGTTATGCCCTCATGAGCCTGAACAGTGACCAACTCTGAAGTACTGTGTAACTGTGCTAGATTCAGTGCATCATGACAGACTGATGATATGTGCATATTCAGTTTTTCCAGGAGCGATGTTGTCTTTCACGCAGTAAATTTTAGATATATTTATGCCCACTCTGCATCCATAAATAAATTTGAAGGAATTGCTCGCCTGAGAAGAACAATGTTACCATGGAATTTTGAAACTTGAAAGTATCATTTTGTTCAATTTTTTAAAATATTTTTGGAGGCTTTAAGAAAGAAAGTTAAACTGCCTTCTGTAATGATAACATTAATGTTCTGATACCTTACTGTAATGACTTGTCTGTTAAAATGTTGCAGATTTAACCTGTAACTTGGACTCAATGTTTTTGTTTTTGTGCATGCTGCTTAATGCATGGGGAATCATTTTAATATTTCAACTTAGTGTCCAAATAGTTTGAAGCTTAAATGTCCAGGATGAAGTAGCAGTGGTTTGTGACTGTAAAAAGTCTTTAATTAGGTTCTTTTAAATACAGTATCTCAATCCTGATCAATGATTTTAATATTCGTTACAGTGTCAGGACAAGTGATTAAATGTAATCATAAGAGTGTGTGGTGGCTGCCACTTAAAGGCCTGCAACATTTCAGCAGTTAAAGGAAGAGTAAATGATGAAGAATGCAGTCTGAGTTAAAATCAAATCTTTTCGTAACTTAAGAAGTTGATAATGAAAAGTCTTATATGGTCATGTAGTTATGATATACTTTGAAGATAAAATATTGTTTTTAGAGAAGTCTATGTGAACTATCAACTCAAACTAGTAACTGACAGTTCACAGAATATCTGATAATACGTCCTGCTTGCATGCCCACTTGTTTTTCCTCAGCATCCTGCAATGCTCCAGCAAATCACAGCAAAAACTGGAGGAGCAACGGTGCATAATAAAAACCAAAAGAACTGCGGATGCTGTAAATCAGGAACAAAAACAAAGTTGCTGGAAAAGCTCAGCAAGTCTGGCAGCATCTGTGAAGGAAAAAATCAGAGTTAACACTTCAATCCAGTTTTGAGGAAGGGTCACTGGACCTGAAACGTTAACTCTGTTTTTTCTTCTTCACAGATGCTGCCAGACCGGCTGAGCTTTTTCAGCAACTTTGTTTTTGAGCAACATTGCATCTTCAGGCTAGACAGTTTACATCCTTCTGGGCTCAGTATTGAGTTCAACACCTTCAGATTGTGAACCTGTTCCTTCCTTTTTAGTTCTGCTTGTTACATTCTCTGTCACCGTGCCCTGTCTCCCCTGCTCGTCCCTCCTGTTGTCCAGTCTGGGAGTTAGACATGCCATTGTCACATTCCAATCACTTAATCTGAATTATCAATATCCTTTCTCCCCAAGAACTCCAACCCACCCCCACCCCCACCCCCCAATGAACTCTCACTATTGCATAAATGCTGCCCCCTCCACACTTCTCCTCAGCTCTGATGAAGAGTCATCTAGACTCGAAACATTAACTTGCTGCCTCTCCATGGAAACTGCCTGACCTGCTGTGATCTCCAGCATTTTTGTTTTCTGTAGAGATGACCTTTATTAGTGGTCTAAAATACAACAGCAAGTTTATTCACTCATGGTTTGTTTCCATCAGGAATGGTTGGCAGTGAGTTTTATTTCTCTCAGAGCATCTTGGTGTATATTAAATTGTTGGAGGGCAGTGGTCAGAGAAGCCTGTTATGTTCACTTGAGCATGCGGTTTCTTTCTCATCTTGTGAATAAATAAATAAAAGAATGTCGCTGGTCAGGCCAGCATTTATTGCCTATCCCAGAGGGCAGTTGAGAGTCAACCACATTGCTGCAGGCTGGGAGTCACATGTAGGCCAGACCAGGTAAGGATGGCATCTTCCTTCCCTAAAGGTCATTAGTGAACCAGATGGGTTTTGCCAACAATTGGCAACAGTTTCATGGTCATCATTAGACTCTTCATTCCGGAATTTTATTGAATTTAGTTTGTACCAGCTGTCATGGTGGAATTTGAACTGGGTCCCCAGAACATTACCTGGGTCTCTGGATTAACAGTCCAACAATAATGGGTCATTGCCTTTCCTAAATTGTTTTACAAACTACACTTGTTGATTCCTTAGTTATGATTTTTTTCTTTGGATACTTCTTTTCTTTTTGCTGGATGATTGTTTCTTACCTGGGCAGGATAACATAATAGCTGAATGTTCTGTTCATAAAAATAATATCACTTCTGGAAGTACTGCGCTCATGGTTAAGTTGAGAACATGCTTTGTCAAGACGCAACTCACAGAATAGCTGACAAGCTGGCCATAAAGCAAAAAATCAAAAGTAGAGGCTATAGGTAATTAAGCAGATTGGGAAATGATGGCATACAACAATCAGTGCAGTGACAAATGTTCTTTGTGATTTATGCCAATAGTTAGTACACAGGAATCAGGAGTGCTGTTTCAAAATTTTGCATGAGAAATGTTTCTCCTCCATCACATTTGGGTGCAGCATTCAGTTAATGAGTTTGTATAACAGAATGACCTACCATGTTCATTTGCCTTGAGGTTTTGTGGTGAGATAGTTTTCCCCATTTTCATGTGGGTGGAGATTTAGTTACATCCTGTTAGTTCACTTTCCACCCTATAGCAAAGTATCACGGCAATACTGTCAATGGGATAGTTTATAATGCCACAATAGGTTTTTGTCATTTTGATGTCAAATTGTATTTTCAATGCAGTCTTGTAGACAGATACCCTGTATTGCAGAGTTTGATTCATTGCTAAATAAAGCAACATTAAAAATTGCAGCCCATAATTTGAAAATTGAGTAGTAAATTGTTCATGAAGACAGAATTGGAAGTTTTCTTTTCAAAATGAACAGTTGGAGATGCGTGGTAATGCTCAAAGTACTCCTTTAACAAGTATCAGTTATCTTGCCTTTTCCTCAGACTCAGAATATACAATTTTTAGATGCGGAAAGCACTGCTGCATGTTAGCAAGGGCAGGATGTAGGTGCACGGAAGGGTAGTGTTGCTTAAGGTAAGGTAGGTCACATGTCTGTGTAATTAATTTGTGGTCATTTTCTCTTTTCTATAGCTGACCCTATTGCTTTAGGTTTCATCATCAGTCCCTGGTCTCTGTTGCTGTTACCTTCTGGCGATATTTCTTATACTGATGAGAATGTTTCTGATCAGGACCTGCGTGCATTTACTGCCCCTGAAGTTTTGCAGAGTCGGCCTTTGTCCTCTCTTTCCGATGTTGAAAAGGTATGGAACTAAATAGTCAGTTGTGTGGGAAACTATAGCTGTTTAAATTCATTGTGTGCATGATCAAAATACTGTGCAAGTGTTATACTTAAGTTTTGTGTGTATCTGATTTAAGACTCAAGCTTTCTATAACTGATCCATGTAAAAAAAACCAACCTAATTGCTCCACAGGTAGAATTTTGATGCATACTAAGACAAGCTATTATAGTTAGTGGAAAAGTTGTAATTTTTGAAATGCATATCTGTGATCTAGTTGCAAACTGAAATTGAATTGCTGCATGATATTTGCTTTCCTTTGAAGAATTAATTGTGTTTAACTTTACATGATCCTGGTGGATGGAGGTTTTCCCTACCAAAAGTGTGTTTAGGAAATAATTGATATTCTCCTATTTAAAATTGGCAGTTAGTGTAATGAGAAGGAGGTTGCTAAATTGAGAAGCACTTCTAAACTTAGCTCCAAGCATAGTAACATACACAACTTAATTCACCCTGCCATCCCACCCACTACAATCAACCTTCCATTCCTGCCACAAGATTGAAAAAGACTGTTATAAAAATCGCAAATTACATCTTGTGTTACAGTGACTAAGGTGACTTTCCCTCCTTGTCTTTTTTTCATCAAGCCATCTGCAGCTTTTGACACTGTTAACTACGCAGTCCTGTTTCTGAACCTCTACACAATTATCCAAGCTAAATGGGACTTCTCTCCTGAGATTCCATTCTTATCCACCTAACGATAGCCACTGTATCACTTGAAATGACTTCTCTTTTTGTTCCCATGCCTTAATCTCTGGCATTCTCCAAGGATCTGTACTTGGCCCCTTTGTATTGCTAACTACATGCTTTCTCTTGGTCATCCAAAGGCACAGTTTGTACAAGTGGGTTAAGACACTTCCCCTCTACCTTACTGCAACTGCTTTCAACTCGTTCACTGCTCCCAAATTTATCAGACTGCTTATACTGCATTCAATAGCAAGCAGAAATTAACTCCAGTTAAATATTGGAAAGACTGAACCTAATGTTTTCAGAGTTAGAGGGTTTGAGCTATAGGGAGAGGCTGAATATACTTGGGCTATTTTCCAGGGAGCGTTGGAGGCTGAGGGGTGACCTTATAGAGGTTTATAAAATCATGAGGGGCTTGGATAGGATGAATAGGTAGGGTCTTTTTTTCCCAGGGTAAGGGAGTCTAAAACTAGAGGGCATAGATTTGAGGTGAGAGGGGAAAGATATAAAAGGGACCTGAGGGGCAACTTTTTCATGGAGAGGGTGGTGCATATATGGAACGAGCGGGCAGAAGAAGTGATGGAGATGGGTATAATTACAACATTTAAAATGCATCTGGATGGGTATATGAATAGGAAGGATTTAGAGGGATATGGGCCAAATGCTGGCAAATGGGACTAGATTTATACAGGATAGCTGGTTGGCATGGATGAGTTGGAATGAAGGGTCTGTGAACAGACAAGCTGTATAACTCTATGACTCTATAACTCTGTTCCCTAGGTTCCAAATCCATTCCTCTGCCTCTGTCTGGCAACAATCTGCAGTTAAAGCCTGTCTGTTCACAGCTCGGACATCAGATCTGATCGTACGATTAGCTTCTGACCTCATAATTGTGCCAGTACAAAGACAACTTAGTTTTGTCTCCACAGTATCACACGACTTTGCCCCTGCATCAGTCCTCTATTGCTTTATGCTTCCAAATGAATAAAAAGCATTCCTGATTGGTCTCTTACATTCTACCCTGTATGGACTTGAAGTCATCGAAAACTCAGCTGCCGGTGTCTAAACTCTCAGCAAGCTCTGTTCTCCCATCAGCCGTGTGCTCGTTGACTTATACCTATTTCTCTAATCAACATGTTCAGACATGTTATTGTATACCTTTGCAGCAGATGGGATTTGAACCCAGGCCTTCCAGTCTAGGGGTAGGGACGCTACCACTACCACAGGAGGACCCCCCTCATTGACTAGTATTGAGAACAAAAACAAAGTTGCTAGAAAAGCTCACTAGGTCTGGCAGCATCTGTGAAGGAAAAAACAGAGTTAACGTTTCGGGTTCGATGACCCTTCCTCAGAACTTATTCGTATTGAGTCCTGGTCAAACAATGTCTGGTTCAGCTAATCACTGGATAAGATTGTCTCTCAACGGGAAACATGGTTTCAACGGTAAAATTAGCTGATGTGCAGTCTTGACAAAAATGCAGATTTTTGTTGAAGTAACTATGGTAGGCTTTTGCACCGTTCACATTTTAATGATCAACAGAAGTTGGAAGTAACTACTGGACAATAATTTAAAAATAATGCTGTACGGGCTAGTAAGCGGAGTACGTAGTTGATTGATGTATATAGGTAGTGAAAATATGCATTATTGCTATCATCATGTTCATAATGAAACTATTTAGGGCAATAAGCCCATCATGGGATTATTTCTTCTCTGTCTTTCTTTCTCCTTTATCATTATTTCTTATACATTTTTTTGTCAGTGAGTGCCCTGCGATGTTTTTGCTCTCTAATTGAGGAGCTCGAAGGCCAGTTGTGAAGTCTGTGTTGCTGCCTCAATGATAATTGGCTAATTCCTCATTGTGGGTGAAACTTGATATTCCCCTTGTTTACAGAACTTAGCTGCTCAACCAGATGACATGCTGTGCCACCAGTGAAGTGAAGCATTGTTTTGGTTATTTTCTTGGGTGCCTATAGTTTAACAATGAGTAAATAGGTCTTCAGTGTTTCCAAAATTTGACTTGCTTCTTCACTGCTTCAAATAATTTACTTTTATCGAGTCTTAATCTACACCTCCTATCTGGAGGAGAATGTTGAACTTTAAAGTAACAATTTAATTAATTCTTGGTGAGTAACTAGCTTAGATCATAGAATCCCTACAGTATAGAAGCAGGCCATTTGGCCCATGGAGTCCATATCAACCCTCCTAGCAGCATCCCACCCAGACTGACCCCACAATCCTATCCCTGTAACACTGCATTTCCCATGGCCATTCCACCTAACCTGCACATCTTTGGCCTGTGGGAGGAAACTGGAGTACCTGGAGGAAACCCACGCAGACTGTCATCTGAATATAAACCGAACAAACTGCAGATGCTGTAAATCAGAAACAAGAACAGAAATTGCTGGAAAAGCTCAGCAGGCCTGGCAGCATCTGTGGAGAGAAATCAGAGTTAATGTTTCAGGTCAAGTGACCCTCCTTGAACTGCTTTTCCAGCAATTTCTGTTTTTGTGACAGTCATCTAAGGCTGCAGTCAAACCTGGGTCAAGGCAGCAGTGCTAACCACTGAGCCACTGTGCTGCCCAGATTCTTAAGTCTGACAAATAGTAACATGAAACTATAGTATAGGAAGTCCTGAAGATTAACAAGATACAGTCCCTTATGGTCGAAGGTGCTTAGAATGTTGAATTTAAATTATCGTGAAATGGAATATTTCATGAGCTAGTCGCACTTGGTGAGGAATGAAATGCTGTCCCTAGCCTTTTTGATGACCTGTAAATCTCATCGTTGAAGATTTATAGTAATACTAATTTCTTAGCTTTCCTCATCTGCCACCCTTATAGTCTCTGCAAGTTGGGGATCTGTTATCTGTAAGTTGGGTAGTTACGTGGCATCAACTCTTAACCAATATTAACTCCACTCATATTACCCAATCCCTTGTATTTCGGAGCCTTTCAGAGAGGGAGAGAGATAAATACAAATGGCAACAGCAACTTGTTGCATTTCTAAAGTATCTTTTAAATTATAAAAACATTGCACAATTTTGTGCAGAAGCAGATGAATGAATAAACACTAAACCATTTAGGAGATAAAGACCAGGACAGTTTTGAGAAGGAAGGAGAAGGCACTTGGGAAAGCAATTCCCAAAACAACTGACAATACTCTTGATGAGTGAAAGGAGGGGCATTGCACCTAAGGCACGGAATCTAAGAACTAAAACAGAGGAACAATGGGGCAAAGCATGAGTGAGCTTACTTCCCATTAGGCTCAGTAAGATTCAACCCAGATCCATGAAATGGAAAAATACTGTCCTGTTCCACTGTTCTATCCAGTTACCAAAATGAACTGAATGTGTGTGATTCTATGCAGGAAAGTTGATCGATTATCTTGCTGTTATGTGGATCATTACTATGTTTTAGGATGTAGCAGGTGATAGGCAAGGAAATTATTTGTGATGTCATGATGTTTCTGCATAGACTGCTATTGAGGTTGCCTCATTTTTTATAATATATGGTCTTCCTGTTAACAACAGAGCTTAATTTAACTGGCAAACACCTGGTATCTTAATTTTGGCCCCTGGCATGGTCTGTAAAGTTAACTCTATGTCACAGGTATCTGATTTTCAATTTATTCCAGTAAAACAACAAGGTGCATTTTGTCAAGTTGTTTCAATTTGCCTTAATGTAAAATGAATCACTAGGCAACGGTTAATATGAACCTCTTCCAGATAATATGCAATAAATATCTTTGTCTAGAGCTGCTTCCCATTTATCTTATTATCATTGTTGAAGGTTAAAAGTTGGACTAAATTGACTTAATGCTCCGAAAAATTTGAACTGTAAAGATTTGTTACATCAGCTTTTTTAAAAATGTGTTTGGAAAGTAAGGTTCTTCTTATTTACGGTCCGTGTAATTAGTAAACGAATTTAATGAAAATGATGACATATGGGAGCTGTGTATTCTAACAGTTTAAAATTTACATTGATATTAAAATGTAACATTGACAGCTATGCAATAATTCTAACTGTTTTGTAAACTTTACTGAATCATAACTTTTGATTTTCCAGATGCATGTGTATTCTCTTGGTATGACTTTGTATTGGGGAGCTGATTATAAAATACCTCTGAACCAGGTGAGTCTAAGGTACATTTAATGAAAACACATTAAGTGAATTGATGCTACTTTATTGTAGGGAAATGACTCAAACACAATTGTGACATAAAAGTTTGCAGTTCAGGGGAAACCAGAATCACCCTACTTTGCCTAGTTTCTGCATTTGTGTGATATTTTTCTTTTTATACTGACCCCAAAAATTTCTTTGTAGCTATTTTGAGCAAGAAAGAGGTGGAGGTCAGCTTTATTTGAGTTTTGTAAGTTTTGCATGTATGTTTACTTCATAACTGTGGTTGGGAAATGTATGCACAAGTTTATCATTGACGTCTTGTCTTGCTGACCTGTGCAACTTGTCTATATGCCAAGCCAGCCTACAGCTTCTGTTGGTAGGATTTGCCCTGGCTAATATTGTTTCTGAAGTTCAAACCTGGAGTATTTCTTTAACACTAAAACAAAGGACCAAATTTTATTTTGCATTACTTTTCTAGAATTTCTCGTACACTTGATGTGAAATTTTTTTGTTGTAGTCCAAAGATACAATTATTTATTTTCACAAGATATGTGGAGTGATTTGGTTAGAAATAGTGAAGAAGTTCTATTCTGGGTCTTTGTGCAACTGTGTTCTTGAAAAGAATACAAAAAACCTCTCTGTCTGCATCAGTGAGTCGTAATTACAGTTGAGGGATTTCATTTGGTAAACAAGATTTTGGAAAATCTGAGCTAATGAAATGAATGTCTGCCAAGAAATTAGCACTTCAGTGAAAGCTTATTAACTTTGACTTGTTGGGTCCTCGCTAAATACCTTCAGACACATCTCACCGCACCACAGTTTTGTGTGTGTTTACAGAATATTTATTATTCCATATTAACATTGATAAGTTGTGTAAGCCTATACTCACGTTTCTGTACATAACACATTTCTGTATTCCAAAGTGAGTTGGCAGGATGTTAGGGATAACTGTGTGATTTTCAAAAGTGCAAGGTACCCAATAGATGAGAAAAAAATGTGAAAATTCACAATTGACAGTTTAAGCTTGAGAGGATCTACGGAAAGACGAACAAACATAAAAGGGATCCTTGAAAGAGTGGAATCAGCAAATGAGTCATCCCAGCCAATTAAATAAAGAACAAGTCACTGTGGAGTAGAATGGAAGACCAACACAGCTGAATGGATTGTGGTCATGAAAAGGAGATGTGTCTGGTGGGAACTCAACGAAAATGGGAATATTGGATGGATTAAGGGTGAAATAAGTGGAAAAATATAAGGAAGCTTGTTCCTAACGGATCGTACCAGTAAGGAAATGGGGAGGCAATGGCCTAGTGGTATTATCACTGGACTGTTAATCCAGAGACCCAGATAATGTTCTGGGGACCTGGGTTCAAATCCGCCATGGCAGATGGTGGAATTTGAATTCAATGTCTGGAATTGAGAGTCTAACGATGACCATGAATCCATTGTTGATTGTTGGGGGATAAACCTATCTGGTTCACTGGAAGGAAACTGTCATCCTTACCTGGACTGGCCTACATGTGACTTCAGATCCACAGCAATGTGGTTGACTCTTAACTGCCCTCTGGGCAATTAGGGATGGGCGATTTAATGCTACCTAGCCAGCAACACCTTCATCCCGTGAATGAATAAGAAAAGAAAGACTCTAATAATGTTGCATAAAAGCATGACCAAATAGCCAAATTCTGGAAGAAAAAGCAAACCCAGAGAAGGTGGATAGGACAAAGGCAGAGACTGAAGGACAATGGGACATTTTAGATCTTGGCAACTTTTTACTCCGGAATTTGAAGACCGATTAGTTAATGGGAAGTTGTTGAAAACTATTTTATGGCACATAGGTGAAAGATTTGGAAGGAGATATCAAAGGATCCAGTCAGAGAGGAAATAAATAACATAGCTATTGTAAATATCTCATGTGCAAGGACTGCCTTTCAAAGATGAAAAGCACAGAATTGTGATTTCTGAGTGTTGGATAAAAGACAGAACATTGCCAAGAAGATTGAGGATGTAACAAAGTGATTGGTGGTCTGGTGGGAATGCAATGATGTCATTCAGACAAAGCAGAAACTGTTTTGGAAGAACTGTAGAAGTGAACATCAACAATTCGCTGCAATAGATGGACAGGTAAAGGAACATATAGGGGAGAAAATAAATCCATGGTGATACTGAGCATGCAGTGGGTAGTTGTTAGCAAGGTGATGACATGATGCAGTCGAGGCAGATACTAGGCAAAACAGTTATATTTATATAGCACATTTAACATAGAAAACTTATCAGTGTGTCTTGGGAGATAGAGACTGCGTTGTGGAGAGTTGAAAAAGAAATAGACAGGGTTGGAAACCAGGAGGAGAGATTATCAGAAGTGCCTGAAATTTAGTTGGAAAGATAAGACGTGAGGAGGTTTTGACTTGAATTTTTTGACTTGAGGTGAAAGGTTCAGAGATAAACTAGTTTAGTGAGAGTTTCAGAGAGTATGGTAGAGATGTCGGAACGTTCATCGTAATGGTACAAAATAATTGGCCAAAACTAGGGCTAAAAGGCTAACCTAAAGTAACATGCTTATACATGAACACTCTCTAGTTATTAGAAATACAGTACTGGAAAGAGGCTGGTGTGGCAATAAGAAATCAGAAATAGTAGTGATGACAGATAATAGTAAGGGATATAGCATGCAAGACATTATGATTAAGAAATAAATACACGGAAAGCAAATTTATATAGCTCCGTAGGCCAGCTCCAATTGGGAGGTCACAGAATCACAGAATTATGATGTTGCAGAAGCGATTCAGTCACCAGTTCTGTTATGTAGTGCTGATTTCCTGCCTTTTCCCCATATCCCTGGACACCCCTTCTATCCAAATAACCATTTAATGATGACTTCACCAAATTTCCAGGCTGTGCATTTCATTTCCTAATTTGCTATGTGAAAATGTTTTTCTCATAATACCTTTGTTTCATTTGCACATCACTTTGAATCTGTATCCTCTTATTCTTGTTTCTTTAACAAATGGAAACAGCTTCACTCTATCTACTCTGTCCAGCCCAGCCATGATTTTGAAAACCTCAGTCAGGTCTCTTCATTCACTTAAGAGATTATTAAAGTCAGTCTGAGAGACATGCAAAGTTACGAAATGAACTATTCTGATTAGATATTTTAATGTGAAACAGATAAATCTAATACCTGCTACAAACCACCAAATCGGAAAAGTACAGCCATGTGCTCCATGATGGGATAAGGATACTTTTAAATATGAAATTACAATGTGTTTTCTATCACCACGTAGTTTGGATGCTCAAATGGCTCAAAGCCCAAGTTGATCAATGTACTAATGTTTGGCTGTTTCATGATTTAGTTTGTTAAGGATTCCGTCGGTCAAAATGTTTAAAAGTATTAGTAACTTCATACATTTTGTTTGAGCAGAGTAATTTCTGATCAGACTGGTGGCTGGGCACTTAAGGAGATGACAAATGGAATAACATGTCTATCATTTAGAATACAAGACAAGTACGTACCTGGAAATTTGAACAATTACTGAACAGCATGGCATACAGTAGATGAAAAATTAGAAGCAAAAATAACAATGATGACAACTTGCTTTTAGCGTCACACAAAAAAATTCCAAGAAACTCAAAGAGCAAAGACCAAAGAAAATTACAGCACAGGAACAAGCCCTTAGGCCCTCCAAGCCTGCACCGACATGTTGCCCGTCACAACTAAAACCCCCTACTCTACAGAGGCCCGTATCTCTCTATTCCCATCCTGTTCATGTATTTGTCAAGACGCCCTTTAAAAGTCACTATCGTATCTACTTCCACTACCTCTCCGACAGCAAGTTCTAGGCACCCACCACCCTCTGTGTAAAAACTTGCCTTGTTCATCATCTTTAAACCTTGCCCCTCACACCTTGAACCTATGCCCCCTAGTAACTGACTCTTCAACAAGTGTGCTAACAATGGGTGTTGATCCAGCAAGGGAGTGAATAGGACCATGAAAGCACCTTCAGGAGACCATATATTGATCAGGTTTTTAAAGTTAATGAAATGGGTACAAGGCTGATTTCAAAAAGTAGGATCAAGGCAACTGTAAAACAATTGTAGGTTAAATACTGGGGTAAGAAACACCAGCCTGGAGCATTAACAATGGAGCATTTGTGAAACAATATAGAGATAGTACATCTGCACTCTGCTCTGTGGTGAAGCCATAGCTGGGTGGGCTGATTCATAGGTAAAGACCATCATTTTGGATTGAATACATTGACAGGGATGCTAGGCACGTGGAATTGAATGTGTGAGAGTGTTTTGAACAAATTGGACTTTCTGGTCATTGGTTGATGAAACGCTAACAAGGAGATACTTAGCATTGTTGAATCTGAATGTCTCTGCAAGAGTTTAGGAGTGACTGAATTAGGAGTATATGGATTGTGCTACTGAGTTAGAAATAAATAGAACTAGTAATGAGTAAGGTGTAGTTCTAAAGATTAGTGGTGGGATGAACGGAGAGTCAGGTTGAAAGTAGCTTAATGCAGTTTGAGGGAATGCATCTTCAGAAAGGCAATGGCCTAGCGATATTGTTGCCAATAATCTAGAGACCCAGATAATGTTCTGGGGATCTGGGTTTGAATTTCACCACAGCAGATGGTAGAATTTGAATTACTGAAAAGTCTAAAGATAACTGAAACCACTTGCCTAGCACCCCTGTCAATTGTTGTGGGGGGGATAGGAAAACATCTGGTTCATTCAATTCTGGAAGGAAACAGCCATCCTTACCTTACCTAAAACGATGTTGGTGACTCTTTAACTGTCCTCTGAAACAACCTAGCAAGCCATTCAGTTGTATTACATGCACGAAAACGCAAAATGAATTAAGCTAGACAGACCACTTGGCATAGACTGAGGCACTGAAAGCGACACTGTAAAGCTCATCTTTTTGTTAATCCTGCAAAGTCGTCCTCACAAACATTTGGGTGCTAGTGCCAAAATTGGGAGAGCTGTCTCATGGACTGTAAGTA